CCCCAAAACCCCAAAACCCCACGAATCAACAGAAGATTATAGTCAAAGTAGTTCTAGAATTATAAATTTAAATATTAGCAAAGAGCTTAAATGGTAAATTTGAATTCAAATATCCCATAATTTTCAAACTGATCTCGATTTATTTAGTGGGCTAACATATGCTGCAGTGAGTACTCTCATAGCAGGACTACAACCTTTTGGGATCATGTCAAATAAAACAATGATTTTTACAAGCTGGTGTAAGATAATAGTATTAGTCATTATTTGTTAGAATGAAAGAGAATTACCTTCCCAGACATATGAGAATAGGTACAGTCAACAGAGTCATCAGATTTTTCTTCGGACCAATTAGTATCTTAGCAATCCTATGCATACTGTACTTTAAGCCTGAATTCAAAGATGTTCACGATCTATGTCAAAGAAGGTAAGCTTAGCATTTTGATAATAATTAAATAATTAGAGTCAACTGTTACGCTCATTGTGTGAATGATAACTTCCCTAGTTTATCTTGCCAAGAATACAATGTGTCCTTGATGTATAGAGGAAACACCTATGATAAATTCTACTACTATCCAAAGAAGGATACAAAGCATTACAGAGAATGCTTAAGTTATGTTGATGATGTACAAGATTTTAAATACTTAACCTTTTTCTAGAATGAATTATAACTATATGCAGAAGATGAGCCAAATAGGATGAGAAGAACTCACACCTGCTTTAATTCTTGTAAAAGGTCTGCTGACTGTTATTTAGGGTTCGAAGAAGACATTAGACAGGAATGCACGAAAAAGACTAAAGAGCAAGGTCTCTTTTGCTTGATACCTGATGAAAATTAGTGTGAAAATTACGTTATGGCTGAGGAGATTTGCTTAAATGCAGATCAGACTATTTGTATTAATCCAATGTTCATCTTCCTATCCATATTAATTGGAAACCTGCTTTAAATCGTATTCGAAGCTAGTATGCTTTACTCATTAGAAGTTACCTTCAAGCCAACTAACTTAGAAAGACTCTAAGATCCTGAGAAGTACTAAGATGACATGGGGTAAGACTCTAATCCTGACTAGAAAAAAGAGCTTGACTGTGGAAAAGTACTAATGAAATGCTGGGGTGAAATTTTATTCATAGCTTCCTATCTTGTGATTTTGGTTGCTTTTATTATAGGAATCACTTACTCAGTAAACTATGGCAGACCTATTTCAATAATGGTCTCATTCTTTATCGCCTGGGCTATTGATTAAGGCAAGAATATACCATTCTAATTTGTTATCTACTGGGTTGTCATTAGAAGATTTGGCTATTTTGAGAATGTCAATTTAACTCTCTGGGATGATGAAGTAGTAGCTGAGAGGGGTACTCAGATGTCTCTATTCTATCTTATGAGAAGAACTATCGCTAATAAATTAGAGGATAAAATGGTCTCAAGATTTATCCTTGGAATGGTTATCTTGCTGTGTATAGTCATTTTTTCTGAGTTGTCTCTAGCTGCCTAGATTGAATCTAGCGTTTAACTCACATAGTTTTACTATGTGCTAAACTATGCTTTACTGGCATTTTTTGTTATGGAAATTATCATTAAGTGCTTCGCATATGGGCACTTATTTCTTATGGAATACATCAACTTATTTGATTCAACTATCGTTATTATCTCCTTTATAATGCAGGTACTAGATCTTAAGGCAAAAGTATTGGGTATATTGAGAGTGCTAAGACTGATTAAAGTTATCATTGAAATGAAAAAGGTTGCTGATGCCAAGAAAGAACAACAAGAGCTTATTAAGGAGTAGAAAAGATAGGGTTCTTAAATGGCTTCTTATGTTGAAAGAGTTCTTGACTATTTCGAAAGACTTACTTTAAATAATGATATTCCAAAGCATTTAAAGGAAGATCTCCAATGGGCTATCGATGTAATCAGTGCCAATAAGCTTTATGTTGGTGGATTCGAAGGATTTAAGTTATCTGAAGATAAATCAGAAGTTAAAGCTTGGACAGACCTTATAGCATTAAGAAACTTGCCTATAAATAAGACTGAGTTTGATAGGTTGAAGATAATTGAAGTAAATGAGGTAGTGAATAAAAATGAAGATAAGATTAAATTCACAATGAAGAGATCCTCTGAAGTAACTACCAATGGTTAGCATAAGAGAAAGAGTGAGTAAATGTCAGGATCGAACAATAATGATGAATCTAAGATGCAGTTATTAAATCAGTCAATGAAGGATGAAAAAGCTGGCTCAGGTAATAAGTTAAATCTTCCAGGCTTTAGCAAAATGAAGACGAACAATCAAGCTGTCGATTTTCATTAATATGAATCAGATGATGGAGAGAACACTCAATTCCTTGATAAAGATTTTCTAGAGTTGACTGATCTACTAGAGATGGACAAAGCTTACCTTGATAGTGCGATTGAAAAATTCGATGAGACAGCTTTTGACCCCTTTGCTTATTGCTAAATTCTGGGCAATAAGTCACTCTAGTATATGACATTCAAAGTCTTTCAGATGTATAACTTTATGGACCATTTCAATATTAAGCTAGTTTAATTAGTTAATTTCACCACTGAGGTAAGATATGATACTTTTAATCTATGCTTAGATATAAAATGGATACTTCTAGGACAATCCATATCATAATATGATGCATATTGTTGATTCTTTTTAAGCCATGCACTACTTAATGAATGTTGGTAATCTCAAAAGATACTTGAAAAAGCATGATATTCTTGCATCATTTATTGCTGATCTCATTCATGATTATGAGCATCCGTAAATAGCATTATTATCCTATTTATTATTAAATTTAGTGGTTACTCAAATTAATTCGTAATCAGAACTAAACATCCATTGGCGATAAGATATAGTGACCAAGCAGTTTTAGAAAATCATCACCTTGCAGCATCATTTCAAATAATGCTTAATTCAGAAGGTCATGCAAACATTTTTGAAGATATTCCCCTCGACATTACCTAAGAGATGAGAAAAATTATTATCAGAAGTGTTTTGAATACAGATCTAAGCAAACACTTCACACTTCTTACAGAGTTAAAGACTAAACTAGGCAACAATTTCCCAACAGATAGTCTTGAAGACCGCATTCTTATTTTGAGCGTTACTATTCGTATATGCGATTAATTCAAGGTTGTAAGAGGCACAACTATCTTCTTTAAATGGATGGAGGCTATGTTTGAGGAGTTCTACAAATAAGGTGACATGGAGAAGGTGCTAGACCTACCTATCAGTAAGTTCATGGATAGAGAGAATACCAATAAGGAGAAAGCTTTCTCTAATTATCTTAATGTGGTATGCAGACCTCTATTGACTACTTATCTCATTTTAATTAATGATGATGAGATTTATGGTGCTATTGTAAGAGAAGGAATTGATAAAAATAAAAAGAATCTAGAGCAGAGAATTGACGGAGACTCTGGAAAATGAAACTATTAATTTCGCTAAATTTCTATAATTGTTAATTTCATAATTAAATCTTATATTTTATATTAATTCAATTGAAATTTTTCCCAGATTTGAGTTAATAATTCTTTATGGGGTTTTGGGGTTTTGGGGTTTTGGGG